CAAACCTTTCAGTAATCCCCATAATTCTGCATCAAAAGGATTGCAGGAACCTATACTACACTGATTTAGTCTTACTGGTACGGTATACTCTGAAAAGATTCTAAGTGTGGATCACATTTGATGAAGGTTTTCTTGAGTATTTTGGCACACGAAAAATCATGAAAGACCCTGACCAACCATTTACCTTTGGTTATGATGGAACTTCTACCTTAACAGAAACTGTTGAGACATATAGTCCCACATTGGTTGTATGTGCAACTAATGTAGAGTTTATAAGATCTTGAGCACTCCTAACCTTTGAGCTAGCTTTTGGAGTGGTGTATTTCAAGGTTCTTTATATGATATCAGAGTCTTAGTGTACCGTCCTCTGCTTTAAAAAGTGGAATTAGAATAAAATAAAAAAGCACAAAAAAGGTAAACAAAAAAATGGGCCTGTGCAATTTTCACGCTCCTAGCCTAAAGGAATCTTGCGTGAGGGGGCGTGTTGAGATATATAGTCCCACATTGATTGGATGGGCAACTAATATGGCCTTTATAAGGCTTTGGGCATTCTCACCCCTTGAGCTAGCTTTTGGAGTGGTGACCTCAAGGTTCTTAACAGAAACAATTAGAGATGATAATACATATTCAAAGCACTAAATCCTTGCGTGACAGTGTATTTGGAATTTTTATATGAAAGTAAAATGCTCTTTCTGCACCCGGGTAGCATCTTTATGTGTACGTTGGTATTCATTATTTGATTGCAGAGTAAAGTAGACTTGCATTATTTTATCTGATATTGCTTTTCTGCTATGACTTCGTGATGATGATATACTAAACATGAAAAATTCCGCTTTACCATAGTCGTGCCCCAAAACGTTTCTTTTCTACGTGGGCTTCATTCTTACCCATTTTCAATCCTTCTAAATACTATACAAACTTCATTTCCACATCAAACATCATATAATGACCATTTTTGCTCAATTTAAAGTCCATGCAGTAGTGTTAATCACATCCAAACCCATTTTTCAAGATAGCAAGCAGTGAAACCATGAATAACTCAACTTGCAAGCTTTTTCAGCACATCAATTATTTGAGGAATGACAGCAATATCGTGAGACTTCATAGTTTAAGAGCAAAATAAAAAGGCAAATAATAATAATAATAATAATAATAAAGCGAAAGAGTCTTGGGTAAGTTATCATCACCTTTGCCTAAGATGATGGGGTTTGATCTTTAGGGTGCAAAGCCATTTCTTCCTCCTTTTATTTCTTCCTTCTCTGGAGCCGCAACTCTCCCTCTCTCTTTTTTCTTTTTCTACAGATATATAATTTCACATTGATTGTATGGGCAACTAATGTGACCTTTATAAGGCCTTGGGCACTCCCACCCTTTGAGCTAGCTTTTGTGGTGGTGTATCCCAAGATTCTTTACATGGTATCAGAGCTTGAGTGACTATAAGGTCACAAGTTCGATCCTCACTGCCTCCCACTTTCAAGTGGAATTAAAATAAAAAGCACAAAAAGGTAAACCAAAAGTTGGGCCTGTGCAATTCCACCCAAAGGGTTCTTGCGTGAAGGGGCGTGTTGAAATATATAGTCTCACATTGATTGTGTAGGCAACTAATGTGGCCTTTATAAGGCCTTGGGCACTCCCACACTTTGAGCTAGCTTTTGGGGTGGTGTATCCCAAGATTCTTTACATACCTTGTCTATTTCTCTCTCGCTAAGGATAGCTAATACCCATTATGCCAACTAAATACATCTAATAATAATATCTTAACCTTGAATTATTAAGACTATTTTAATTATGTTATGATAGCTAAGTTGGTAAATTTTAGTTGGTCCATCTAGGTTAGTTTCATGCACTACTTAATGTCTATTTGGATTTTTTTCTTTTTTAGCTTCTCTTTTTCTTATGAGTAGAAGTTAGGTTAAATAGGTTGTTATAAAAGCTTTTATAATAAAAACAGCTTTTTTTAATGATGAAGAAAAAAACAAAATCTCCTAGGAGGAGCTTTTTGTTAGATGTATCAGCTCTTTTTTTTTTTTTTTGAGACGTGTGCTTTTATTTATTTTTTAATGAAGAGCTTTTAAGTTAAAAATTTTATATAATCATCAAACAATTTATAGTTTTATTTTTAAAACTCTTAATTTTAGCTTTAACTTAAAAAAGAGAGAGCATTCAAATAGACTCTAATTTTTAGGATTGCCATGCAGATATGGACCTAATTTCTAATTACCATAAACATAGGTGTTAATTTTATTTAGTGAAGGACAAAAATATTCCCCTAAAAATATTTATAAATAATAATCATCATTGTGAATTATAAAATTGAGAAAAGTAATCCCAATAAATTGAATAACTCATACAAACGTAAGGACTTATTCGAGTCCTGGATAAATAAATTATCTACTTAAGGGTGACAATTTTTCATATGATCAGCTAACACAACAAACTCGATATGAAAAATTTGTGTTTGTGTCGACCCATTTTCAAATTCATGTTGGTAAAAATTGATCTGAAAAAATTTGTGTGGTGTCGTGTGTCAACTCGCAAACCCAAAATTGACCCATGTCAATCTTTTTATGAGTTATTTTTGTCGTCTCGTGTTGTAACCAAGTAATTTGTATCATTTTTTATTGTGTCAACCCATAAATTAAGCGGGTCATGTTCGTGTCCGTGTCGAAGGATAAAAATGGAAAAGAAAAAAAATACATGGATAAAAAGGGAAGGAAAAAAATAATCTTGTGAGTGGAAGAGCGCCAAATTTTTTGGTGCTCATGGATCATATTAAATATTTCGACGGGAGACAAAAGCTCCTGTGCGGTCCACTTTAATTTTTTTTTTCTATATAGTGGAACCGACAATGTTTATTTGCCTTGCAGAGATTAAAATGAAAAAAAAATAAAATTCCTGCTTTAGTTTAAAGGTGTATCGCCCGTTAAAAAAACTCACTAATCATACAAATCAAATTATTACCATTTATATTTTTCTTCTATATCAGTCATTAATCCCCATGTTTTGGGTGTGAATGATAACTTTTGCGGAATCAATTTTTTTTTTTTTAATTTCTATTCCTGAGAACATAAATAGATAGAAAACTCGTTTGGTAAAATTGGTTTATTTTTTTGTTCCCGAGATAAACCGATTTAATTTTTGTGCAGGAGAATATAAAAAAGAATAAAAAAAATTCTGTTTTTTGTTTGTTCCCAAGAACAAAATGAGAAACACTTGTCGATTTCAATCACTCTCCACCACTATCATCATCACCACCCTCACTAGGATCCTGACACGACCACTGCCGCCATCATCGTCGTTGTTATCGTACCACCACTATCATCATTACCACCACCACCCCTACGATGTCACTGCCACCATCACGACCACCTCCACCCATCGTCACCACTGTCACCAACTACCACAAGGCCACCACAATCACCACCGCCACCACAATCACCACCGTCACCAACCACCACTACCATTGCCGCAGTCACTGCCGTCACTACCACCACCATCGCCGCCACCAATCACCACCACCACCACCACCACCATTACCACCATCATCGTCGTAACCACTATCGTCATCACCACTACCACTACCACTGTCACTGCCACCACCACCACACCATATGAAAAGGAAAGTGATGTTTCGAAAAAAAATTATGCTTAATAGGAATTATTATTTCTTATATTATTTGTTGTGTTATAAAATACAATTCTCATTCTCGGAGTAAATTGAACATGTTATCAAACACATTTTTTTTCTTCTTCTTAGAAACTATTCCAATGCATAGAAATAAAAAATAATTATTTCTTTTCAAAAATAATGTCAGAAAATATAATGGTTGTCATGCACACCTGTGCAAGAATCATTTCATCTTTTTATTGTGAATAATATATTTTTATTTTAAATAAAAAAAACGCGTATTGAGAATAGTTCACGTGATTGGATGCCAGTCCATATTCCAATTTTCCATGTGAAATGAAATCGCAGCAATATGCTCCTTGATGACATACCACGAAATAACCAGATGCATTGAAACTAGAATACTCATTTTAAAATGTTTGTTATTTATTCGCAATATAATAATATATTTTTATTAATCTATCACTTATTAAAAGATTTCACCATAATAGATCGTAGTAATTTTACCATATTTAAATTATCAACTTGTTAATAAATTTATCCTTTCAAGTATAAATAGAAGTTTTCGAAACAAAAAATAGAAATAATGCTAAACTAAAACTTGTTTTACATGACTCCACTACTTTGCATTATTTTTTTTTAAAAAAAATCGAGTTATTCTAAGAAACAAATTTAGAAACAAAAATACTCTCATTTTGATTCTTAAGTAGTGTTTGGTTCGGGAGAAAAAAAATTTTACTTGGAAAATGTAATTGATAAGAAAATGGTTGGAAAGTGAGTTTGGTAGGAAAATGTAAAAAAAGTTGTTTGGTTGACCCAAATATTACTAGAAAAATTTATTTAAATATGCAAAATCTATGTTCGGGAGAAACTTTGCACCTGTTTTTTCACTTTCCCAGTTATCTCAAAATATCACATCTCAAGTGGTATTCTGTAACAGTGAATTTCATCCAAAAATCAACACAAAAGTCATTTTCCCATCTATCCTATTTGCCTGGTATTTCTTGAAAAAACCTGAACCAAACATGGTATTTTCCAGTATCCACTTACACTTTCTCATCAATCTCAAAATAAACCTTCAACCAAACACTACCTTAGAAAAATATATAAAAACCAATTTGATGTAGCTAATTTTTTAAAATGAAACTAATGATTTTAAAAAATTTAACAAACTTAATTAGGAATTTGCTCTTATTCATGTGCACAAAACCGTGCAATTTTCCCCCCTCTTCACTACTTTTCTATATAGATACTTTGGATTGCACATATATTTCACAGGTAAAATTTCTGCCCAAGAGTTAGACCAATCTCCATACAAATTAAATTGGGAATGCCAAGAAGGAAAATATTTGCACAATAAAAATGTAGGACAACCAGAGACTATTATTAACAACTCTATATCCCATTTGGAGATATCTCGGTTCTTGCTAAAATTACAAATTAACAAGATGGAGACTGAAATACATCAAAATACTACAAGACTAAAATACAACACCTTTGAGGCAGTAGCTTTAGACGAGAGAATAACACCCAACGCATGGTTACATTAAAAAAGAAGAAGAAGAAGAATAAAACTAATGCCAAAAGTGTGGCTACTTCTTGTTTTCCTCCTCCCTCTGATTCATGTCCTCCAGTACGATCTCAAAAAGAGACAATGCATCACATGGACCACATATTCAATAAGTCTAAATGCAGGGTTTTGTTCTCTCACCACATGGACTTGGAGAGCTGGATTCACTCCTTGAACAGATGCCAACCATCAGTTTTTATTCACTCCCATCCACCACCACCAATAGTCCTTTTGAAACTCACAAATAGACCCTTTTTTGTCGTTTTTGGAGGCTTTGTTACTAGTCTCCAACACACGTTTATTGCACTGTTATCATGAGGCAATTTTGGAGATATCCTTGCTAGATCTGTTGTATTTCATGTGGCTCTTCACAAGCTGCCCAGCTGCAATTGCAGACATGAGTGATAGCTCCCCGGCAAGGACTGAACCGGCTACTATCGTGGCTAGTAACCTAGAATTTGCACCTGGTGTTTCTTTACTTGCACCCTTCACACCAAGTAAATTAAGACAAGCTGACTGAGATGCAAGTTGTGTGCCTCCTCCAACAGTACCAACCTGAAACCACAAGAAGGAAGGATCTTGTTATCAATCTCAAAAGCTAGCTATAGGTGCAATGAAAAGGATGGAATTAAGGAAAGAGACTAAGACAGGTTCAGTTGAATTCATTCCCAAAGGAATAAAACCGTCCTGTAGTCTAGTTTGCTTCTATCTACACATGGCGAAGTATGTATGCCATATAAAACACTCTATCTAAAGAAACAAATGTTTTCCTTCATTATCAATGAAGAGAAAAACAGAAGGCAAACAACAAAACAATGTCGAGGAAAGAATCAATTGACGTGAAACTACTTTCACTTAAATACTGAATGCACTGAATCTTAGATTATCTTGAAAAAACGGATTTTGATTATATCTTCTCTCATTTGAGAGTTTAGGTGCAGGTTCAGAGACATGTAAAGGACTAACCACAGGCCTTCTACCCTAATAATTGCCAATATAACTAAATATATGCAAGGCATGCTCACATGTATAATGGGACCACAACTTGCATCTAATACAAACGAATACCCACCAAGAGAATATCACAAACAATATTCTACCCAAATAGAGAAAACGAATTTTAGACCAGAGGAATAATTGTACCTCAATCGAAGGCATGGTTACAGAAATGTGAAGATCCTTGCCATCGTTTACAGCTTCCATCATGGTCATGCAGTGAGAACTCTCCACATTCTGAGCAGGATCCTGACCGGTGGCTATGTAGATTGCGGAGACAATATTGCTAGCATGGGCATTGAACCCACCAAGAGCACCAGCCAAGGCTGAACCAGTAAGGTTTTTAAGCATGTTAAGCTCAACTAGGGCCTCCACGCTCGTCTTCAATACCTTCTTCACCACCTCTTCCTTAATTACAGCCTCGCACACCACAGACTTTCCACGCCCTTCAATCCAGTTCACAGCTGCAGCTTTCTTATCTGAACAGAAATTCCCTGGTACCACCAAAAACAGAACATAAGAAAACTTTATCAACAACTTTTAACCATGACAAAGAACATTGCAGAACATATAAAGAAGGTAATGTTTACCAGAGATTCCAATAACATCCATGTCAGGAAAATCGTCCTGAACGAAATCAAGGACATTTTGTACACCTTTTGATACCATGTTCATCCCCATGGCATCACCAGTGCTGCAACGGAATCTAATGTACAAATTCTTGCCAGCAATAGCAGGCTGAATACTCTGTAACCTGGCAAATCTGCTTGACCTGCAAATACCCATTACACATAACATTAATCAACCTAAAAAAAACAAAACAGAACACCCATGTTAATTAAATCACTGCTCCTAATCCTTGAAAACAAAAAAGTGATACTAGTTGTTCCACATACATGCAAAATAAAAAATAAAAAAATTATCACACCACACTCATGTCATAATCATAATTAAAAAAAAAAAAAAAAAGTTTGGAAAATTACTTATTGAAAATGACAGCAAGGGAATCAAAATTGAGAGGATCTTCCAAATAGAATTTCAATTGAGCAGCTCTTTTAGCAGAGGGGAAGCGAACAACTGGGGCTCTGGTCATTCCATCACGAAGCAAGTAAGAGGAAGCTCCACCTGAAACGTGAATAGCTTTGCACCCTCTGTTTGTGCTTGCAACGAGGCAACCTTCAGTTGTAGCCATTGGCACTGTGTATTCTTTTCCATCTAACAACAAAGGCCCTGCTATCCCCACCGGAATCTGAACAAACCCTATCGGCATCTCACAGCACTGCCCCAATATTGAATCGTAGTCGAAACCTTCCACTGGTAAACCCTCCAATGACTTCCCTGTAATCCTCTGCACTGCCTCACGACGAATCGCCGCCGCCTTCCGGCAATCGCCTAGCTTCGCCTCCAGCGAGTACAACGGAATCGAACCGGAAACCACCGATTTCACGGTTTCCTCGTCTTCTTGTGAGAGTTTAATTGGTGTTGCGTCGAAGACCTTCAGCGGCGGTGAAGGAACGACGACGGCCATAGCGGAGGTGTCGACGAGCGCGGCAGGGCAAGGGCCGGGGTTGCGAGCGTCTTCCTTGGCCATAATTTCTTCGTCGGAGAGTTCGTCGTCGGAGGGAGCGCGGTGGCAGCCGACGCCGAAGAAGCCGAGGAGGTAGACGACGGAGGCGACGAGGGAGATGATGGCGGCGGATTCGGAGGCGGTGACGACGTGGAGGGGAGTTGAGGTGCGGATCTTCTCGCGCCAACGGTGGAGGAGGAAGTAGGCGACGGAGAAGAAGAGTCCGAAGAAAACACCGTTGGTGATGTAGAGAGGGAACAAGGGAAGCGCTTGTGAGTCACCGTGCTTCTGGGGCGCGTCGTGATTCTTAAGCTTCTGGGTTTTGAGCCGTTCGCAGGAGGGTGAACGGAGTGGTCGACGGCGAACGTCCATTTTCCAACGAAGACTGACCTACGAAACGGAACGGAACGCAGAGACAGAAAACGAAGGAAAATGGAAAACCCAGAAGCGAAGCGAAGCGAGAAGAGCACGTTGAAAGCGTTTGTTTGGTTGTTTGGTTGTTTTGGGTTTAGAAAATAAAAAGGAGAGAGGGAGTGAGAAAATGTGGGAATTCACAAGTCACAACCGTTGAAATTGAAAGGAAATGCGACACTTTAGATGGTTTTTTTATAGAAAAAACTGAGACCGTCGCCACGCGGACAACGTGCAATACTCCTTTCTGGCTTTCTGTCATTTTTTTTTTAATTTCCTTATTCGGGATTTTGTATATCTCCGAATCACTCTCGTGGCCATTTTTTTAATGCATAACAAATTATTAGATTATTTTAAAATTATCATATCTACTTAAATAATTAGGGTGACATTATTTTACAACTGTATATTTTATAAAGGCATAAGTTATATTTTTAATTTTCATCGTTTATTTTATTTATGTTTAACGATTTAATTTTTTTAATTATGAGATTCATTAAATATAAATTAGATATAAGTGAACAAATTGAGGGTAAAATTTTTTATTCTTACAACGATATAAAAATAAGTTTTCCTAAATAAATACCTATTTTGATAAATAATAAATGGGGAAGGATATTATGACAACCAAGTTGTGTTACTATCAAGTGACTACCAATTAATCTCACCGTTAGATCGATTATGTTGATCTAACGGTTATATTTATTTTCATCTTTGTATGATCATGATTTCTCAAATTTAATACTTTATATTTATTTTCACCTTTGTATTGTTATGATTTCTCATATTTAATGTTTTCACTTTAAATATGGGGAATCATGACCATACAAAGATGGAAATAAATATAACCGTTGGATCAACATAATCGATCTAACGGTGAGATTGATTGGTAGTCACTTGGTAGTAACACAACTTGGTTGTCACAATATCTTTCCCCTAAATAAATATATCATTATCAATTTAATTTGTTAGAGGAATCTTGAGAATTTAATGTTTAGGTAGAAATTAAGAGATAAGATTGTGAGGCATTTCAGGTTAATTAATTGAAAAGTGTTTACAAAATATATATATATATATATATATATATATATATATATATATATATATATATAATTTATGAGTAGAAATGGAAGTTAAATAATCACAAAATCAATGTCAATTAATAATAAAAATTAATCTTATGCTTACCACACAAAAGAATTAATCTTAATTGATTTCCATAAATTATAGATATGATAACAGACATATCAGAAGTAAATTTTTATAAATTTCTATATGTATCAAAAGAAAAACTTAAAAATTTCTATAGGTCAGCCTAGTCTGATATTCGCTCAATTATATCATTATATCAATCTCAATTAATAATAAAAATTAATCTTAATTAATTTCCATAAAAGTAATTAATTTTAATTTTCTATAGGACAACATAATATGATATTCCCTCAACTATATCACTAATTTCTTTATTTTAAATAATAATCAATACTTGATTGATCAATCATTTTTTATACTTAAGGAGGCATTTATAATAGCCTTAATTATATTAAATAGATATTTATGTATAATTACAGGGTTAATTAAATGAAAAGCCTAATTTTGGGTTAAGTCACTTTTCGAGTAAAAGTGCATATTATGCAAATGGGTAGCCTGAGTGACCAAAGCTTTGACCGCTACCCTGATAGTCTCTTACATAATGGCCTGACTTATCACACTTATAGTAGATCACTTGGCTAGTATCGCATGCTCCCTAATGGTTCCTTTTGCAACTGTTGCATATTGGGGCAGAAATCGATCTTGCAAGAATTTCCCTTTGACTTGTGCCTTTCTTGAATCTATCGCTTGTGACTTGACACGTAAATCTTTACATTTGTTCTTCTCATTTCCCCTTTTATCTCTCCAGGATGAATTTGATGAAGATTCTGATCATCAACAAGTTTGTCGAAGTCTTTCCGAAGGAGATCACTCAACTACCACTGAAAAGGAAGATTGAATTCTCCATTGATTTAATTTCGGGGGTAAGACCTATTTCTGTAGCTCCTTACCAGATGGATCCTTGAGAGCTGAAAGAACTGAAGGAACAACTTGAGGACCTATGTCTAAGCAATTCATAAGGCCAAGTGTTTTGCCTTGGGGAGTGCCAGCGTTATTTGTAAAAGAAAAATATGGAAGCTTGAAACTCTATGTCGATTATAGACAACTAAACAAGGTGACAATCAAGAACAAGTACCCTCTATCACGAATAAATGACTTGTTAGATCAATTGAGGGGTGTTTGTGTGTTCTCCAACATAGACCTATGTTATGGATACCATCAGATCTGAATCAAGCCTAAAGACATACCCAAGACTACATTCAGGTCCAGATATGGACATTATAAGTACCAAGTAATTCCTTTTGGACTCACTAATGCTCTAGCCGTATTCATGGACTATATGAATTGAATTTTCAAACCTTATATGGATCAGTTTGTTTGGTGTTATAGAATACATATTGATCTACTCTCAAAGAGAAGAAGAACATGAAGATCACCTGATAATTGTTTTGCAAATTCTCGAGAAGCAGTTGTACGCAAAATTGTCAAAGTGTGAGTTTTGGTTGTCTGAAGAGAAGTTCCTTGGTCATGTCATTTCTGCAAATGGAGTACCAATCGGTCCCAATAAGATTGAAGTAGAAATGACCTGGGAGCGACCCAAAGATGACTCGGAGATTCGTAGCTTCTTCAGATTGGCGGGTTATTACCGAAGATTCATTCAAGGGTTCTCACATATGGTTTTACCCTTGGCCTACCTTACCAGGAAAGGTACATCATTTGTTTGGACCCATGAATGTGAAGAATGCTTTTAGGAGTTGAAAGAAAAGTTGACATCCGCTCCTGTATTGACTCTTCCGAATCCTAAAGGAAACTTTGAAGTTTTCTGTGATGCTTCCAAGAAGGAACTTGGATGCATACTCATGCAGGAAAAAAAGGTAGTTTCCTATGCATCCAGACAGATAAAACCTGTAAGAACCCGCACCGTTAAATTAGGAAATTTAATATTTAATTACGAGTTTAATAGAATAATTTGATAATTGACCTTGAATAAATATGGTAAGACTTAATTAATTACTATAAGGGCTTAATAACACTGAAAGTCGCTTTTCTGATGCGGATACCAGTTCTGCTTCACGGTATAAGTGCGTACCGATAAAGTATTCCGAAAAATTATAATAAGTATATGAATATTCCTAGAATAATATCTAGGTCAAGTATAGCAAGCTTGGAGTCGAAATAATGAGAACTGATGTCAGAACTTCTACCGGCAACGTAAAAATGCGTACCGGCAAAGTGCTGCGAAAATTATAATAAAAATATGACAAATCCTAGAAAAATGGCTAGGTTCAGAATCTGAAGTTTGAGATTAAAAGGACTAGTGGAGCTATTAGTGCTAATATCGACAGATTAATTTAATGAGACTATAAATATGAATTTACACAGAACCCTAGGCTGATTTCCATCAGTTTTTACGTGAGTGTGGCTGCTGCATTTGCTCTCCAACCTTGTCACCTTCTTCTTTTCCTCTTGTGAGCCAAAGTGATCATCTTTCTTCACATTTTCTTCACTAAAACTCCATAGTTGAGGGTGGACTAGCCTTGGGAGGTAAAAAGATACTCCATTTCTGAGTTTGAACTTCTGAGTTGGTGAGGAGTGGATTGTTCATCCTTGTTGGGAGAGTGTAGGAGCCATTTCCTTAGTTGTTGATGCTCTAAGAAGCTACCTTTGGAGAGAAAGGGTCAAACTTGAGTGCCATTTTTGTGACTTTGTGAAGTCAGAACCTTGGAGCTATGTAGGAAGCTCCAAGACCACTCTTTTGTTCTGTTTTGAGCCTTTGGGTAAGCATCACCACATTTTCTCTTGATTTTCTATGGAAAGAATGAACCTTGATGCATGTAATAAGTGAAACTTGATAACTTAAGGGTTGGCAAGGTATAACACACCTAAAAACGCATGATTGAACGTCTGGAACCCTTAAAATTGGAACCTTGGAAGGATATCTTCGCGAAATGCAAAACTGCATTCTGTCGCGAAATATCCGGATATGATATATGGATATTGATATCCGGATATGGATATCCGGATATGGGGTTTGTGATATCCGGATATGGATATCCGAATATGATATCCGGATATTCTGGAAAATTGTGTTGACCTGTGTTGTCCGAGCAGAAGCTTGGTTTGGGTTTTTGGACCCATGATGGGTTAGTATGAACCTCTGTAATAAGTTAACTAAGTCAGAATCACTTAGATTAAAGGCCTATGGCTTTGAGAGAAGCCTAAAGGCATGAAACGAAAAAGGAACCATTGTCATAATGTAATGAACTTCTAGATTTTGAATGTTGATGAGATTTATGGTCTAAACAGATTGTGATTGTGATGTTTGATGACCTTGGGCTGTCGTGGACTCTTGATTTGAGATTGTTAGCTTACGAGGTAAGCTTTCGTGTCCTCGGTTTTGCCCATTGTTGATTCCACCATACCTTATGGAGGGGTGGCTATATGCATGCTGTGTTTTTATGAACATAAATGGCGATTCTTGATATGCTATTGAGTTGTTCTATTGAGTGCAAGTGCCATATGATATTTATATGGTGTACCACCTAGACGGTAACCCCTAAGTATGTGGAGACATACAAGATGGTAACTCCGTGGGTGAGGTGCAAGCGGCGTTCCTTGTACTGTAGGTTATAGACATATGTAATCCCTACCTTTTTATTCTCTGGCCTGTAGGATGATTACACATGTAACACCCTCTCTTGTATGCATCCAAAAGAGTTGTTTTCTAAATCGTATTAGAGTGGGAGCGGTAAAGAACTCAATTTTTAAAAACTTAAGATGAAAGCTTATCCAATTTAAAAGTTTCAGGTTTAATTCTTCATTAAAAACCTTAGAGTGAAATTAAATTTCTTATGAAACAGTGGTAATTTCAAGAAAAAAACTGCTTGCTGAAATTTCTAAACTTTTCAGAAAACCTTGCTGTCTTATAAAATCTGTATAAAACGAGTTCAATAGCTTAAAAAAATATTTAATGCTACGGAGAAACTAGACATCCGGGGCTTCGCGTACATATAAATTATAAGCGATTCGGAAGTGAATAGCCCCACGAA